GTGTAAGAGACGGATGACCAAGAACCGCATCTGATCCACCCATGAATGCTGTTTGTTGCTGGCGGCTTGGCATTTTGGGCCTTTGGGCCGGTGTTCAGCAACCGTGATTTCAATTTTTTTTTTTAATGGCACGAACCGGGGCTCGCTGTCCAATCCCCCCCCACCCCCGAGCCTCTCCAAGCTGCCTGTGGGCTCCAGTGCGCAGTTGCACCGCCTGCACACCCGATGGCTCCACCGCGGCTTGCGAGCGTTCCAACTCGGGCAGCGCCGTCTCTCGTGTTGCTTCGCGAGCGATGGCGCTCGTGGCGCGAGAATGGCGGTGCCGCAAAGTGGCACAAACGGTTCCCAAATCCCACACCGCCGTGCGTTGGCGCATGCGTGCGCGAGCGACACTCGCGCGTTATTTATTCATTCGCTAACCCTTCTGACCTTGCCGAACCCCGTTGGGCACGACGACGACGACGACGAGAAGAACCACAACAAAATCTCACGGCAGCCAAGCGGCGGGGGAGAGATTTACAGAACCGGCGAGACTGGAGCGGCAGCGATAATGAAAACAGCGGAGGACCAACAGCCACTCGCTACGGCAAATTGACAGCGAAGGCACGGCAAGGGCAGCTCCCCATGGACGTTGCCTCGTGAATGAGAAACCCGGGCGGCGCCAGTCTCTGCTCGCGCGTGCGCCAAGTTGGCCACCTTGCGCTCGGCCACAACGCGTAACCTAAACGCCGCGTAACAACTTTGTTTTGTTGCTGCTGCTGCTGCTGCCCGGCGGAGCGAACGGACGGTGCCCACGAACGATGCCGCCCGTTCGCTGCCCCATTGCGGGGGGGGGGGGAGAACGAAGATTTCACAGCGGACTCGTCGGTGTGCGTGCGTCGACGATGCCGGCGGCCGCGTCGTAGAACGACTTTTGGACCGCGGGGGGGGAGGGGGGTCTCGTGAAGGGATTCCCGGCGCGATTTGGAACACTTCTTCGATGTGTGGGCATCAGACACGTGGGCCGGTGATGCCCTCCACGTGCGCCGTCGCCGTTACCACAGCCGGGTAACCGCAGATTCCACGAGCCGACGTCCGGGACCCATTCGGAGCGGAGAGAATGCGCACAGCGGTGCATCGGTTAGCTTCATTGGACCTGTGATCCAAATGTCGCCGGTTCGATTCCATTTCCCGGCGTGGCAGTTGAAACAATTCTACAAATGTATTATTTCCCTCCTCTGCCCGCCTGTCTACCGAGCAGTGCGAATGGGTTGACCACCAGGACGTCACCTTTGACCCTTTTATGACGGTGGTGGCTGAACGGGAGTTAAATTTCAAGGCCACGTCGGCGTACGAACGGTCTTCCATTAACTAACAAACCTTTGTAACAGAAGCCCAGGTACAGTAAAACACGTGTAGCGTTTAAACGGATCACTAAAACCCACTGACGATTTGTTTTACAGTGGTACCCCGGAGATCGAACTTAATTCGTTCCAGAAGGCCATTCGAACACCGATTTGTTCGAACACCGAATTAATTTTCCCCATAAGAATTAATGTAAATGACATTAATTGGTTCCAGACGCAAAAAAATCTCTCATTATAAAGCATTTTTACACGAAGTTTACAGTAATTACATGCATAAAATCATACAAAAAAACAAGAAACACAATAAATATATGGAATAAATGAAATAAATGAACATTGAACTCCACTTTACCTGTGGTAAGGCGAGTTGATGGCTTGAGTGAAAGGTGGTGAGGAGGAGGAGGTGGTAAAACCTTTGTCTGGGCAAGCGTCACGCACGCTGGCCATACGCGTCTCAGCCGTACAGGTTCTTTCAAGTCGCGATTGCCCCGTTTGACCTCCGAACTTCGTTCGGTTTCCGGGGCCAAAGAATGTTCGGAAATATCGTCCGAACACCGATTTGTTCGAGTTCTGTCTGGTGCGTTCGATCTCCGAGGTTCTACTGTAATTCAAAAATATTGTTTTACGTCTTGACAATTGTCACCATCAATCCCCTAATCTATCCACTGCTGGATGAGTCCCTCTCGCGGTCCTGCAATGCCGGCGCTCCACCTCGCTCACGTGGGGTCTCATCGCTCCGTCTCCTCGGGCGGCTCCCCTCGAGTGCGGCTGCCGTTACGTCGCCGGTCACGTCCGTGCGGATACCGGGGTGCCCGTCTAACAGCGTGTCCCTGTCCCGGGCGCGCACTTCCATTTCCTCATCGTTCAATGCGGCGTCTCCAATTTCCACTCGGTCTCCGGTCCACGGGTTTCTCTTTCTGCCTCGCAGTGCCATCCCCCAGCATGCACCTCTCCATGCTTCCCCGTGCACTCTTCAGCTATTGTTTCCATTGTCTCTGTGTGGGCGTTCGTGTTTCTAATCCGTATGTCAGGGCAGGCAATCGGCACCACTTTGAGTTCCCCCCCCCGTCAGATGCATTTTTCCTGTTCAGGTACAGTTTCTCTTCAGGCACCTTGCTTTTTCAATGTACGTATATTGAATTTCTTTCGCACCATACGTAGCCAACCGTGTTAATCGGAGGTGCAGGGGAAGAACGAAACACAAAAAGCAGTTTTATACCTTGAATTGGAGGTTTCCTCCCACGTGTAAACACTCAATAATTGTCCGATAACACCTTAATACATAGAGGACTGCAGAGCTTGGCCAAATGCTGGTAGCGCCGGCTCACCGTGTGGCTGGCTTCTCCACATCGCTCTGGTTCCTCCTCGCTCCTCAGAGTTGTTCTCTCTCGTCGAGAGCGACTAATGTGCTCTTGCACGTGCGTGACACTGTGACATTACGATCGTTGCTTTTCATTATCAAGTTCCATTTTCCAAAAGCCACCCCATCGGTTGGCTACATCTGGCGCGAAATGAAGTTCAACATAAATACACACATCCTGCGTTCGCTCGACTATTTTCCCAGTAATCCTTTCTCCAAAAGTAGGTCGGTTTATTTTAGGTGACCGCTGGGAGGCTCATAAAGGGCAGAACTGGCACAACCGAGATCCTGAGTCCAAACGAGGGTTGTTCAACAATAATCAGTGCAGACCGGCTATCACTTTCAGAATCAATCATCGATTCCAGTGGAATTTAAGTCACGAACGCACCGATTGGCACACGTGGATACAAACCGCACGGCGGCAGGCCCAAGTCACCGCGTGGAACATTTGCCCTCGTTTCTCCACGATTGCTCGCTCACGCGAAAGGGCCTCCCCCCTCCACTTCAGGGGAGTGCGAGAGGGTATTTGGTATTTGGCCTTCCTTTCCATGGGTGAGCAAACGTGCGTTTTTCAAAAGAGGTGAGCATGCCCACGCTTTTACCCCACCACGCGCACACCTGCCCGATCGACGAACCGGGAGCGGCGTCGCCATTTACACCGCCAAGAAACTCGCCCCCGTAGTTTTGAACTGCCGCGCCGGGCGATGGGATCGAACCCGTCGATCTCTGGACCACCAGCACGCTGTGCCGACCGCCGCAGTGCGGAAGCTCCCCCCCCCCCCCCCCCCCCTTCATTGCTCAGCTGAAAAGGCACGAAGATCGTTCGCCGCCAAAGCATTTCTATTTCCGCGCCAAAGAGGCCACCAATTTTCTACCATTTTGCCATCACCGGTAATCCCAAAAAAATAACAACACCGGCTTAAATTCAGGCAACTTGCCCCGTGTGTGTGTTGGGGGGTACGGGGGCGGGGAGGGGGGCGGGCAGGGGGGGGGGGCAGGGTGTTGGGGGGGGGGGGCTTCACCTAGCGGCGGACAATATCCGACGACACCGACCGGCGGGCGAGGTTGGGATCCGCGCGGTTGGAGAAGAGACGACGAAAAGGGTTCTGGACACCCGAGGTTTTTCTTTATTGAAGAACAGCGCGCTTCGGGGTTTCTCAAAATCCCACGCCAGCGCCGAGCGCCGCCGATCCGTACTGCGTTACTCAAAAAACTCATCATGCTCGGGGTCACGGGACGTAGGCAAGTGCAATTAAATTAGTAACAAACCCTTTTGAAACCAGTTTTGAGTATTTCAGCTTCAATAACGCCAGAAAAATAAAACTCTTGATTTCGACTCAATCGTCAGAATTGTCACTTCTGCAAATATAACATTAGTATTTTGGCCACATAACCAAAAAAAGGCCGTGTTACTGTTATTATAAAATAAAAAATAGACTTTTTAAAGCTTTGCTTAATAAAGTATAGTAATAACCTGTGCCTACGCGTACATAAAAACTCGGTAAACGGTACCAAAGTAGCGAATAACAAAAGTATAGTAAGTGGAATCTTCTGCAGAATTGCTTTACAAATACAGTAGTTCATACAAAAGCAAACATTTAAATTGGTTATTCTTTGTTCCATTAATAATAATATATATGTATGAATTTTATCACGTACAGATTTGTTGGTACATTAAGATCCATGCTACGTAGGTATATGCTAGTAATAGGTCAATACAATATGTCCCTTATATGCATCAAATGTATACAATACTATGCCTTAATTACATTAAACTTGTGTTTTGTCGTGCTGATATTATGCAACTTTTAAAACGTTAACCCTCCCCCCCACCCCCCAAACAATATGTAGACAAAAGAAATGCTGCTTTTAAGACAAACAATAGGCTCGAACCCATAATTTAAACTTATCCACTAAATCGTAAACATTTTGGTATAAGAAATATAACTTTATTCAAGTCAAACAAAAATATATTTATCTGCAAGAATATACACCAGAAGGGGCTATGTGGTTATTACATACCTGATCTTTGGAGCAGTTGATGGCATTACAGTGCACGTGAGGAGGGGCTGGGGCGGGGGTCACGTGAGAGTGAGGCGCCCCCCTTTTAGCGGCACGAGCCGGGCAGCAGCCCCCTCCCCCCCCCGCCCACCGAGCCCCCCAGTCCGCAAGCACCGCGCTAGATGCCCGGGCTGCCCCGTGCCCGCTAACCTGAAAAGGGCCCCCCAATCCCCCCCCCGACCCCCCCCCAACCCCCTCCCCAACCCCCCCCCCCCCCGACCCCCCCCCCCCTCCGCTCCCTACGAGAATATGCGAATGGCCTGAGTGACGGACGTGAGGCAGACGGGGCATTTGGGATCGTTCTCGTGACAGATGCCGCTGGCACACTCCATGCAGAACAGCTTGTGGCCGCAGGGCACCAGGGCGGCCGTCACAGCGCTCTCCCGGCACACGGCGCACTCGCGCGGCTGCCCCTGCTGCTGCTGCTGCTGCTCCCCCGGCGACGCCGGCGCCCCGGGGCCTCCGCGGCGCAGCAGGCCCAGGCTCCACTCGGCGCTCAGGAAGCCCGGCAGGCCGTGCGCCACCATGGCCTGCAGCGGGTCGCTGCGCACGCGCCGTGCCGAAGGGTGGTGCTCGGCGCCGCCCGACGCCGACGACGCCGACGGCGCCGCGGAGGAGGAGGAGCCGCAGCCGCTGGCCGAGGCGGCCCGCTCGCGCCCCGGGTGGTGCGGGAGGCCACCCAGCGCCGCCGCGATGGGGTTCGCTCGCTCCAGCTGCGCCCAGAGCCCCGGCTCGTCCGCCCGCGACCCCAGCGCCGCCGCCGCCGCGGCCGCCCCCTCGGCCGCGTCGACCAGGCCGAAGCCCGCGGCGCCGCCGACGCGCGAGTCGCTCGACACGCTGCCCAGCGAGCTCGAGCTGTCGTTGCGCGACGGCGCCGCGAACAGAGGCTTGCGCGGGAGCCTGAGCCACAGGCTGCCCGGCTGGTACCCGCCGCCGCCGCCGCCGCCGCCGCCGTACTCGAAGCCGACGTCCATGCCGTTGACGTGGAAGTCGCTCTCTCCGTCGACGCCGCCGGCGCCGCCGCAGAACTCGAGGAGGCTGCCGGTGCGCGCGGCGATGTGCGACTCGATCTCCTCGCGGGCGCGCTCCACGTTGTGCGGCAGGCCCGTCACCTCGAAGACGGGCTCGCGCTCGCGGCTCGGCGTCACGATGTAGGTGTGCGTCGCCTGCTGGATGCGGCGGATCGTGGCGCCCTTGGGCCCCACCACGAGGCCCACGACGCGGTACGGCACGCGCACCTGGATCGTCGTCTGGCCCGGCACGGCCGGCGGAGGTTGGAGCTGCGCCGCGCCGACCGCCCCCCCCGCGGCAGCGCCCCCCCCAGCCGCCGTGGCCAGGGATTGCGGGTTGGGCCCCGGGCCGAGCGCCGGGCCGGGCGGCTTGTTGCGGAAGGCCCGGAGCACGGAGAAGTGTTCGGCGGCCGAGAGGATCTCCTGCTTGGCCATGCACACGTCCTCGGGGCGGCCCGTGATGACGAACACGGGCTCCTCGCCCCGCACCGGCGTCTTGATGTACGTGTTCGTCTTGGCTCGCAGCGCCTTGATCTTGCAGCCTGCCGAATGGAGGGGTGGGCAAGTTATTCGAATGCGTGCAGCCGTTAGCGTGCGACTTGAGAGCGAGCGACTCGAGCGATATCAATTCGGTGGGTGTTCTAGAAGAGCCCGAGAAATGTTGTCGATTCGGCGATCACACGTGGAAAATCTCAAATCTAGGCCTCTGACAGTTTGTATTGGAAGTTTGAAGGGTTTACACTATGAGAGCTCCTTTACCAGTGGCAAAATATAGTAGTAGGTTTTTACCCTTTAAACTGTTACAAAACTGACACCTTTATACAAGGCATCATGTTTGCAATAACCGCAACACAAGCAGTCAAAATGCAAACAAAAAGAAACAACTCTGATAATGGTAATGATATGCACTGTTCTTAAAAAGCTGTCTCGGGTGTGGACCAATCAACTTTAAGGACAGTGCATATCATTACCATTATCAGAGTTGTTTCTTTTTGTTTGCATTTTGACTGCTTGTGTTGTGGTTATTGCAAACATGATGCCTTGTATAAAGGTGTCAGTTTTGTACCAGTTTAAAGGGTAAAAACCTATTACTATAGTTTGAAGGGTGTTGAAGACATTTGATTTTGAAATCCAAAACCAAAATTGTGAACTGTGGACCCCCAAAATTGGGGGCCTATGGAAGTGTGGAGATTGCTTTTCAAGACTGATGAATCAAAATTACACAAGATATTTAATATCCAACGAACTAAATTGGAGAATGCAGGTCCTCCAAATCTGGGGTAAATTTGTGTTAACCTTTTTATTGTTTAAAATAGGCCTATGAAAGTTTGCATCTGGATGTCCTAAAGGGAGCCAAGTCCAAATGTGACTTTCAAAATGGACCCAGAATTTTTTAATGGCAATGGCTTGGCAATGCCCTCATCCAAAAGTGGATCGATCATGGCTGGTGATAATGCTAAAGCACATAGGCAAAGCTTGCTATCAATTATTCATAACAATTAGACTGTCCTTTATTTATGAAGGAAATGCGCAATGAGTCTCAAGACGTTTTCTCATGAGAGTCCTGCTATGGGATGTTTGGCCAATTCTGTTGATGAGTGTGTTGCTTCATGTGGGTGAAAACCAGTGCACCCAGAAAAAGCCCATGAGAGTACGAGGGGGTAATGCTCAAAGCTCCGCACAGATAGATTCAAGAATCCATCACTGTACTGCCATGACCTGGGCCACCTACTCCCCGCTCTCTCCTGTCTGGAGTCAGGCCACCAGGTCAGTGACATGGGCCCTGGTGCAAGGAATGAAAGACGCAAGGAAGCGATGGCGAATTGTGGTGACCTGTCACCACTAAGCATCGATGATAAAGCGCTTCATAGATCAGATTTCTCCAGGCTAAATACAAATTCTGATTCGGATTTTGACATTAGCAAGACGAGGCCATTAAGGTCACGTAACATGAGACACCTTAACGATAGCGGGAGTAATAATAATGATTTACAGCCCATTCTCAATCGACTGCTGGATGAAGATCTCCAAGTCGATGGAGGGGGACTATAGCAGCGGTTCAGATAGGACTTGCCACTGATGGTAGCCGTGGCTGGGAATCTAACTAGGGTAGCAGGGTGCACTAACCACTGCTCCATTGCTTACCCCATTCATGACCTCTGGTGTGCCACCACCATCACCACTTTCACGGATCTCGAACGAAGTGAATCCATAGATTCTGACTGGCGATGTTATTGTTGCAGTGACCCAGACTCAGCTGTTAGTATGCATGTTGAACTTCTTTCGCACAGTATATAGCCGACCGTGGTGATCGGAGGTGCAGGGGAGGGGGGGACGACAACAAACTAAACACAAGAAGCAGTTCTAAAGAAATGAGTTTCCATTGAGATGATTTAAAGGGGCATAGCTCCAGTGGCTTCCTAACATCGGAAGGAAGAGCGGTTCCACACGGCCGCAGAAGCACATCTGAAAGCGTGCGATGCAGTGACCCAATGCAGCTAGTGTGTTAAGTTTCAGATTAGATTCACTGCTATAAAATACACTCAGACTTTACTTCAGCTGGCAAGGCCCATCGAGCTAAGCAGCTCTTTTACGAGCACAACGTACAATAAAACGACGCCGTGCAGCAATGGCGCGTGTGCCCCGGTGGTCACGAATTTGACTCCTCATCTCCGAAGCTCGGCCCTTAGGCCCCCTCTGGCGTGGGCCCTGCGGCAGTTGCACCGCCTGCGCACTCGACGGCTACGTCACTGCGCCAGGTGCAGCAGCAGCAGCAGCAGCAGCAGCAGGGTGGTGGTCGCGTCAAGCTGTATAGGGAAGTGACACGCGCACACCCTTGGGGGGGCAGAGTGCAGGGAAACAACAGCCTCGTCTGGAGACGCCCTGCCGTTATCTCGTATCCCTGTTTGCGCTCTTGCTCGGAACGAATCACGTTGTTTGGAGCGAGAAAGGTAAACTAAATTTTGAACAGTTTACAACCCTTCGCCCATCCACCGCTGAGTGAAGGCCTACCCACGGGGATCGTTCGCCCTTACTTCACCGCTATGGTCAGTGTTGGTAAAGAGGGGTGGGGGGGTGCGCCCAGGACTGATTCAGACATCATCCGTCACTGGTGTTAGCCACGGTCGGGTAGCAAACTCGGGACCACTTGAGTTCACAGGTTTACGTGATAACCACTCACTGCGCCGCCGCTCCGAAATTGAATCAGGTGGACACCCGGAATATTCTCTATCTTTTCAAACCAAATTCATTTCACTCAAGGCCAAATACAAATATTTACGCACCCTTCCAAATGCATTTAGGACACGATGAATGAGATGAAGGTTACGTTTTATTCCCTACAATGAGTTAAATTTTCTGTTTTATTATTGTCCAAAGAGCACAGGGCAGACCGTGCAAGGTACGCAAAGGAGCACGGCGGGATGCGTGCGTGGAATTGCCTTGAGAGTATAAAGGGGAACACGTGGGTGAGAGAAAGTACGCAGGTCCAGCACGTACTCCGATTCAAACGGTGACGAGGAAAGTTGGTGGGCTGGGCCAAAACAGACGGCTCGGAGGGACGATGCCGACGGTCAAGGATAATAACGGAGTGGCAGCCAAGGGATGGAATGCGTCCGAGGAGAAGTCGCCCAAAGGAGCTGCCATGCAGCGATATAATCGGCTGCTGTGGAGAATGTAGGTGCTATGTGGACTATTACATTACATGACCAGACCGTAAGAGGTGGTAACGCCTAGTGGAGTAGGCCTTCATCCAGCAGTCGATTGATCATGACTGCCGATGACGATGATGGCAATTCTGTCAAGAATTCATATCTCCCCGATTCTAAATGGATTCCTAAAAATTCCAGTGCGGCGGTGTTGTTTTTACATTCATCCCTCTCCTACTTGTTGTAAAATTTAACAGCAAAAATCGTGAACGGCTTTGTGTTTCTCGGGTAAACGTCCAAGGCTTGGGAAAGGAGGCCAACTCCTTCCCGACAGCTCAGCCTGGGCAAGGGCGGAGGAGGGACCCGGAGGAGGCTTCTGCTGCTGCTGCCGCTGCTGCTACCGCGTGTCTCACAATGCGCAGAGAGATGCACCCACCACGCACACCGCACACAAAGGAACCCGCGCGCGCTCCGCCTTCCTCCTCCTCCCTCCTCCTCCTCACTCCCTCCTCCTCCTCCGCGCACGCGGAAACTCGGCTGTGGAACTTAACAAAGAACAAAAGGTTTTTTTGCCAGCGCACACACGTCAGTCAAGGCGGGTTCAGGGAGTGGAGTCGTGAATTGTGTTGCAGGGCTCGCACCAATCACCCTGCGAATCGGAACCTCGGCCAGGTTCGATTCCCAGCCCGCTCGCAGACAAAGTGGCGATCCTAAACCCCGAGACTTGCCATGAATTCCATCCCCCCCCCCCTCCCTTAGGTCCACTCGGCCCGAAAAGAGCACCTGGCGTGGCGCAGCAGTGGGGGGTGGGGGGGGGGGAGAGACAAAGGGGGTGCCAGACGGACGGGCGTGGTTACACACTCGTCCAGCAGACCTATTGTCTGACGCCGCCGGCCTTAATAGGCGCTCGCCAACAGCGCGTCTCTCTTACAATGGGAGAGGCTCCTTTGTGCCCGTCTGTGCTGCTGGTGCTGGTGGTGCTGGTGATGGTGCTGGTGGTGCTTGTGGTTGTGGTGGTGCTGCTGGTGGTGGTGGTTGTGGTGGTGGTGGTTCGAGGCGCAGTGGTCGCGTGACAAATCCCCCAAATCCACAGTTCGACTCCCCTACCGCGGACACCAACAACGTGCAGACCACAAGTGGTATTTTCTGAACCTGTACTGGGCCTCCCCTAGGTAGGCTCGGCCTAACAATGAGCAAATGAGTGTGTGGTGTGTAAACGTAAGCACTGGGGAGACAAAGGCAGCCGAGGACGTGCTCTGGTGCTTCTGGTTACACCAGCCCCGAGCGACAGCCTCTAATAGGTGCTCGCTAACTGCCCTTGTTGAGACGTGCTTGGGATACAATAAACACGTGCTAGCTGACCCTCTACTGGACCTCTCCTAGGTCGACTCGACCTCAAACGAGTAACGGCTGCGTGAACAATTGGCAGTGGAGAAAGATCAACGCAGATCCTGGCCACCCAACACCTCCCTGCCCGAAGATGTACCCCTGCCAGCCTTAATAGGTGCTCGCTAACAGCACTCGATGTGGCCCCTTGTCCAAGCTGCTGGATTTGGTGGTGGTGTTGGTGGGCCAGGAGGATGGAGGAAGGGAGTGGGGGGGTTGGAGTGTCTTTGTGTCGCGGGGGGGGGAGCGGTGGCGCAGTGGTTAGCGCACTGCGCTGCGAGACAATCGCGACATGCGTTCGATTCGCGGCCACGGCTAACATCAGTGGCGAGTGTGATACTCACAGACACTCCCCGGTCCCCCCCCCCCACTGACCCATAGATCGTCTCGGTGACAAACGAAAATAACAACAACAAAATAAAGCGTAAACATCAACACCGGGAAGACAAAGGCGTGCGTGGGTGTCACCCCTCGTGTGCTGTGCCAGCCTCGTCTGAACAGATGTTCGCCAACTGCAAAACGCCCCCAAAATCCCGCATGGCGCCTAGCCCGCACGTGTCTTTGTCTGCGCGTCTTTGTGTGCCATGCCGCCCTTAATAGGCGCTCGCTAACACCGTCACGTGTTGGCCAGGGCAGCGAAACGCTGCCCAACAGCCCCAATAATTAGCGCCTCCACGGGCAGGCGGTGTGGGTGGTGGTGGGGTGGGGGAGGGCAGTCTTTTGTCTAGGACAGTGCCACCAAGTCTCTCTTTGTGTCACCACTGCTAATCGTGTTTAATAGGCGCTCGCTAACAGCACACGTGCTGTTGTTGTTGTTGTTCCTACTAGACAGCACAGGGGACCCAACAGTCTGGCTGAGGTTTCTTTGTTCTGTTGATGCGAGAGACACAGAGACAGAGAGAGAGTTTGTAGTTGTGTAGGCGGTGCGTGGCTAACAAAGGAAACGAGGCAGTAGCAGCATCAGCAGCAGCAGCAGCGACTCACCCTGTCTGCCCACGATTTCCGCAACGTGCTCCGAGCTGGGCACGCACACACACTCCGTGGTGTTGCCTCCTCTCCTGCTGTTGCTGTTGTTGTTGACACCACCACCAGAACCACAACCGTTGTTGCCGTTACTTGCTCCACTACCACCACCACCACCGTTGTTGTTGTTGCCATTGCTGCTGCTGCTGCCCGCGTTGTCCCCGGAGTGGTCGCTCTCACACGAGCCGTCGTCTGTGACACCGACACCGACTCCTCCGTCTCCGTAGAGGACGGCTCGCTCCGTGTCTCCCAGGGCCATGAGGCTGATCTTCTCGAAGGCCATCTGCAGGGCGACCCGGTGCTGGTCGGACGGGGCCACGGCCCCTGGCACCACCCGCTCCATGTCCGCGACCACGAGGGCAGAGCTCGGCATCGCGTCTTGCTGCGGTGATGATGATGGTGATCTTGAGAGATTCTGGGTTTGTTGTTGCGGAGACGGCGTGGCTGTTAGACGATCTTGTTCTCAAGCTCGGGAGTCACGATCTTGCACAGAAGGCGTTGTGATGGTGCTTTATTGACGACACGCCGATGTTCACGTTGATGAGATGTGCAATTTGCGTGACCGTGTTATGATCTCATCGCGGTGATGATGATGATGATGTTGCGATGACCCTATTCAGCTCGGATGATGGTATGTCAAACGATGCGATGATTAGTATAAGTTGTGACGATGTTGACGTTGAGATGTCACGCTGCTTCTGCTGCTGTTATTGTTGTTAACGATGACAAAGCCGTTATGAGCGGACCACGATGATGCCACTGCTGATGATGCTGATGATGCCACTGCTGCTGATGCTGCCACTATTACACTACCACCGATAATGCTGCCACTGCTGCCGATGCCACTGCTGCTGCTGCTGCTACAAAGACGATCCCGAGGAGCGGCCTTCCAGTCGCCCGGGACGTGCGGGTCGCGGGCGGCCTCGCCACAACGTCGGCCGCTCCGTGCCGAAGCGCGCCCGGTAGCGCAGGGGCTTGAGCAGGAGCCGGGCAGTCAGGCGGGCAGGCAGTCGGGGTTGCCCCCGTGGGGCTTCCTTCACAGCGACATGGTCCCCGGTCCTCACGGGCGGGAGGAAGAGGAGGAGGAGGCAGTCGCAGGCACAACGCCACTCGCAGCCGCCCGCGCGGCAGTCGGAAGCGCAATTCGCTACATTTGTCCGCGTTCCATCCGCGGGTCACTCGCGCGGTGACGTCGGCTCGGCACGACGCCCCCAACCGGGTGGGGCCCTGGGGTGGCGGCGGAGGAGGAGGGGGTGGGGGGTGTGTCTGTGTTAAGGGGGTGTGGCTTGTGTTAGTGGGGGGTGTGTCTGTGTTAAGGGGGCGTGGCTTGTGTTAGTGGGGGGTGTGTGTCTGTGTTAAGGGGGTGTGGCTTGTGTTAGTGGGGGGTGTGTCTGTGTTAAGGGGGTGTGGCTTGTGTTAGTGGGGGGTGTGTCTGTGTTAAGGGGGTGTGGCTTGTGTTAGTGGGGGGTGTGTGTCTGTGTTAAGGGGGTGTGGCTTGTGTTAGTGGGGGGTGTGTCTGTGTTAAGGGGGTGTGGCTTGTGTTAGTGGGGGGTGTGTCTGTGTTAAGGGGGTGTGGCTTGTGTTAGTGGGGGGGGTGTGTCTGTGTTAAGGGGGTGTGGCTTGTGTTAGTGGGGGGTGTGTCTGTGTTAAGGGGGTGTGGCTTGTGTTAGTGGGGGGGGGGGGGTGTCTGTGTTAAGGGGGTGTGGCTTGTGTTAGTGGGGGTGTGTGTCTGTGTTAAGGGGTGTGGCTTGTGTTAGTGGGGGTGTGTCTGTGTTAAGGGGGTGTGGCTTGTGTTAGTGGGGAGAGGTGTCTGTGTTAAGGGGGTGTGGCTTGTGTTAGTGGGGGGGGTGTCTGTGTTAAGGGGGTGTGGCTTGTGTTAGTGGGGAGAGGTGTCTGTGTTAAGGGGGTGTGGCTTGTGTTAGTGGGGGGGGGTGTCTGTGTTAAGGGGGTGTGGCTTGTGTTAGTGGGGGGTGTGTCTGTGTTAAGGGGGTGTGGCTTGTGTTAGTGGGGGGGGTGTGTCTGTGTTAAGGGGGTGTGGCTTGTGTTAGTGGGGAGAGTGTCTGTGTTAAGGGGGTGTGGCTTGTGTTAGTGGGGGGGGGGGGGGTCTGTGTTAAGGGGGTGTGGCTTGTGTTGTGGGGAGAGGTGTCTGTGTTAAGGGGGTGTGGCTTGTGTTAGTGGGGGGGGGGGTGTCTGTGTTAAGGGGGTGTGGCTTGTGTTAGTGGGGGGTGTGTCTGTGTTAAGGGGGTGTGGCTTGTGTTAGTGGTGGGGTGTGTCTGTGTTAAGGGGGTGTGGCTTGTGTTAGTGGGGGGGTGTGTCTGTGTTAAGGGGTGTGGCTTGTGTTAGTGGGGGGGGTGTGTCTGTGTTAAGGGGGTGTGGCTTGTGTTAGTGGGGGGTGTGTCTGTGTTAAGGGGGTGTGGCTTGTGTTAGTGGGGGGGGGGTGTCTGTGTTAAGGGGGTGTGGCTTGTGTTAGTGGGGGGGGTGTCTGTGTTAAGGGGGTGTGGCTTGTGTTAGTGGGGGGGTGTGTCTGTGTTAAGGGGGTGTGGCTTGTGTTAGTGGGGAGAGTGTCTGTGTTAAGGGGGTGTGGCTTGTGTTAGTGGGGGGTGTGTCTGTGTTAAGGGGGTGTGGCTTGTGTTAGTTGGGGGGGGGGGTGTCTGTGTTAAGGGGGGGTGGCTTGTGTTAGTGGGGGGGGGGGGGGGTGTCTGTGTTAAGGGGGTGTGGCTTGTGTTAGTGGGGGGTGTGTCTGTGTTAAGGGGGTGTGGCTTGTGTTAGTGGGGGGGGTGTGTCTGTGTTAAGGGGGTGTGGCTTGTGTTAGTGGGGGGTGTGTCTGTGTTAAGGGGGTGTGGCTTGTGTTAGTGGGGGGTGTGTGTCTGTGTTAAGGGGGTGTGGCTTGTGTTAGTGGGGGGTGTGTCTGTGTTAAGGGGGTGTGGCTTGTGTTAGTGGGGGGGGGGGGGTGTCTGTGTTAAGGGGGTGTGGCTTGTGTTAGTGGGGGTGTGTGTCTGTGTTAAGGGGTGTGGCTTGTGTTAGTGGGGGTGTGTCTGTGTTAAGGGGGTGTGGCTTGTGTTAGTGGGAGAGGTGTCTGTGTTAAGGGGGTGTGGCTTGTGTTAGTGGGGGGGGTGTCTGTGTTAAGGGGGTGGCTTGTGTTAGTGGGGAGAGGTGTCTGTGTTAAGGGGGTGTGGCTTGTGTTAGTGGGGGGGGGGTGTCTGTGTTAAGGGGGTGTGGCTTGTGTTAGTGGGGGGTGTGTCTGTGTTAAGGGGGTGTGGCTTGTGTTAGTGGGGGGGGTGTGTCTGTGTTAAGGGGGTGTGGCTTGTGTTAGTGGGGAGAGTGTCTGTGTTAAGGGGTGTGGCTTGTGTTAGTGGGGGGGGGGGGTGTCTGTGTTAAGGGGGTGTGGCTTGTGTTGTGGGGAGAGGTGTCTGTGTTAAGGGGGTGTGGCTTGTGTTAGTGGGGGGGGGTGGTGTCTGTGTTAAGGGGGTGTGGCTTGTGTTAGTGGGGGGTGTGTCTGTGTTAAGGGGGTGTGGCTTGTGTTAGTGGTGGGGTGTGTCTGTGTTAAGGGGGTGTGGCTTGTGTTAGTGGGGGGGTGTGTCTGTGTTAAGGGGGTGTGGCTTGTGTTAGTGGGGGGTGTGTGTCTGTGTTAAGGGGGTGTGGCTTGTGTTAGTGGGGGGTGTGTCTGTGTTAAGGGGGTGTGGCTTTGTGTTAGGGGTGGGCTTGGTTAGGGGGGGGGGTGTCTGTGTTAAGGGGGTGTGGCTTGTGTTAGTGGGGGGTGTGTCTGTGTTAAGGGGGTGTGGCTTGTGTTAGTGGGGGGGTGTGTCTGTGTTAAGGGGGTGTGGCTTGTGTTAGTGGGGAGAGTGTCTGTGTTAAGGGGGTGTGGCTTGTGTTTAGTGGGGGGTGTGTCTGTGTTAAGGGGGTGTGGCTTGTGTTAGTTGGGGGGGGGTGTCTGTGTTAAGGGGGTGTGGCTTGTGTTGTGGGGAGAGGTGTCTGTGTTAAGGGGGTGTGGCTTGTGTTAGTGGGGGGGGGGGGGTGTCTGTGTTAAGGGGGTGTGGCTTGTGTTAGTGGGGGGTGTGTCTGTGTTAAGGGGTGTGGCTTGTGTTAGTGGGGAGGGGGTGTCTGTGTTAAGGGGGTGTGGCTTGTGTTAGTGGGGGGGGGGGGGTGTCTGTGTTAAGGGGGTGTGGCTTGTGTTAGTGGGGGGGTGTGTCTGTGTTAAGGGGGTGTGGCTTGTGTTAGTGGGGGGTGTGTCTGTGTTAAGGGGGTGTGGCTTGTGTTAGTGGGGGGGGGGGGTGTCTGTGTTAAGGGGGTGTGGCTTGTGTTAGTGGGGGGTGTGTCTGTGTTAAGGGGGTGTGGCTTGTGTTAGTGGGGGGTGTGTCTGTGTTAAGGGGGTGTGGCTTGTGTTAGTGGGGGGCGGTGTCTGTGTTAAGGGGGTGTGGCTTGTGTTAGTGGGGGGGTGTGTCTGTGTTAGTAGGGGGTGTGTCTGTGTTAGTGGGGGGCGGGGTCTGTGTAAGGGGGTGTGGCTTGTGTTAGTGGGGGGCGGGGTGTCTGTGTTAAGGGGGTGTCTGTGTTAAGGGGGTGTGGCTTGTGTTAGTGGGGGGGGGGTGTCTGTGTTAAGGGGGTGTGGCTTGTGTTAGTGGGGGGGGTGTCTGTGTTAAGGGGGTGTGGCTTGTGTTAGTGGGGGGTGTGTCTGTGTTAAGGGGTGTGGCTGTGTTAGTGGGGGGGGGTGTCTGTGTTAAGGGGGTGTGGCTTGTGTTAGTGGGGGGAGGGGTGTCTGTGTTAAGGGGTGTGGCTTGTGTTAGTGGGGGGGTGTGTCTGTGTTAAGGGGGTGTGGCTTGTGTTAGTGGGGGGGGGTGTCTGTGTTAGGGGGTGTGTCTGTGTCCGGCAAAACAACCTCCTACCTCCTCGCGGTGCCGGACGGGCAACACTGTCGTGGGCAGTGCTGTGGGGGGAGGGCCAATGCCCATTGGCCTCTCCCCTCATGGCGTCTGTGACCACCACAGTGGCTAAACGGGGGCTCTGGACGGGTGTGAGGGGCTGGTAACCCCTCCACCTTCAATTCATTACCACTAAACCACGAATTAAACATAAACCTGTAACAAATAAGCTTGTGCCGGAGGCCCCGGGGGTCAGGCTTTTATGACGTCTCCTGGCCAAACCCCATTTGGCGGAGCCAGGAGATTGAATTTTCACCCTCGGGGCTCCTCCAGAAACAACAAAAAACCATTGCGGATGGCCACGTGGAATGTTCGAACGCTCACTGCGGAGGAGAGGCTGCCACTCCTCTGTCGGGAGCTGGACCGGTACCGCCTGGATCTCTGTGGCATTCAGGAGGTCCGGTGGACCGGTTCTGGCTCCTGCCACCATGAGGGGTGGACAGTCCTCTACTCGGGGCAGGAGACTGCCAAACAACAGGGTGTGGCTCTTCTTCTGAACAAAAGAATGAAGGGGGCGTGGGAGCGTGGCGGTGAGGTGTGGGAAGCTGTAAGCCCCAGGATACTTTGGGCTCGCCTTCCCATCAACCAGAGGCGAGGAGTGGTGGTCGTGGTTACTTATGCCCCCACCGAAGACGAACATCCGTGGAGGGATGCAAGCAAAGCCGATGAGTCAGACGCTTTCTATGACCTCCTGTCACAGGTGCTGGCTAAAGTGGCCACTCGGGACAGAGTCATCTTGTTGGGTGACTTCAATGCCCGAGTTGGTCATGATGCTGACACCTGGTCTGGAGTGATTGGAAGGCATGGGCCAGATCAGCTCAATAATAACGGTAGGAGGCTGCTAGATTTTTGTGCAGCCCATGGGCTTGTAATTACCAACACGCTCTTCCGGCATCGGCGCATCCACACAACATCATGGATACATGCCGGGTCCAAGCAAGAACATCTGCTGGACTACATAGTGACGGACCAGCGGATGCGAACCCATGTCCTTGACACCAGGACCTACCGTGGAGCTGATCTGTCCTCTGACCATCGACTAGTCATCTGTAAGATGCGCCTGCCTTTCTTACACTCCGGTGGTGGGTGTACACCCAGGATCCCATTCCAACCAAAAGTGGCCTGGTCTCAGTTAGCTGATGAAAGTTGCAAGCGAGAATTTCATCATCGCTTGCAGCTGGGGTTGGCATCGTCCCCCACTCCACCTGATGTCGAGGGTAAATGGGCGAGGTTTAGGACTGTGACTCATGCAGCTGCAATGGCTGCTTTGGGTACGCGGTCCAGACCTCCCCAGAAACCCTGGCTGACAGA